ACCATCTTGCATTGTCCCCTCCTGCGACTCTACTCCTATGGTTGGGTTTGGGTCCTCTGGTCGCAGAGTCAATGGTCTCGGCAATGGAAGTCTTGGCTACGGCGGTTTCGGCTATGGTGGTCTCGGCTATGGTGGATACAGCAATGGATCTGGTAGTGTGGCATCTTCCGCAGATCTGGGCACCCTGTCTGGGGTCATCCCGAAGCCTATCAACCAGCTTCCTTCCTCTGAATTTGTGATCAAGGAGACTAGATGGAGCTTTGTTCCAACTTAGAAGGATTCTTCCTTCCTTTGTATCTTCCATAGTTCTAAAACAAATGTATGAACAGTTGTAATCTGAAATATGAGATGGGCTTCCAGATCTCAGCACCTAGACTGGATCCTTCTCTGTTGTCCTCAGGACAAAGGGAAAAAGGATCACAAAGACAGTGTACATAGTTGATCTTTGAAGCACTGTTTTCATAATCTCCACGTATTTCTGGTCTTTTCAGCACAATGACCATCTTTAAGGTGAAAGACACAAAATCTACTTAAAGAATCGCCAGAAAGCAGAAGGAAAGAATATAATAAAATATGAGTCTAAGGATATTTGAACATGTCTGAAACTGTCTAGGAATATCCTCCACATTCTGAATACGTTGGGGTTCTCAACTTTTGGTTGTCCAGATTTTTGGGAATTCAGCTCTTAGAATTCCTGACTGTTGTCCAAACTGACTGGGGCTTCTGGGAGTTGAAGTCCCAGACATCTGGAAGATCAAAGACACCTAGAAGACTAACGTTAAGTGATAGTAGTAACATTAAGTCAATGAAAAATAAACGACTTGTTTAGGAAAGAGTAGGCAAGTGGCATGAAATGTGTTTCCATCTTCTCATTACTTCCTGTTTCTCCAATATTTTTTTCCAGAGTCTCATCACCCTTCAAAGATGTCTTACTGTCAACCGTCTTGCGTTGTCCCCTCCTATGACTCTACTCCTGTGGTTGGGTTTGGGTCCTCTGGTCGCAGAGTCAACGGTCTTGGCAATGGAAGTCTTGGCTATGGCGGTTTCGGCTATAGTGGATACGGCTATGGATCTGGTAGTGTCACATCTTCCGTACTTCTGGGCACTCTGTCTGGTGTCATCCCAAAGCCTATCAACCAGCTTCCTCCCTCTGAATTTGAGATCAAGTAGACTAGATGGAGCTTTGTTCCAACTTAGAAGGATTCTTCCTTCCTTCGTATCTTCCATAGTTCTAAAACAAATGCATGAACAGTTGTAATTTGAGATGTGAGATGGGCTTCCAGGTCTCAGAACCTAGACTGGATCCTTCTCTGTTGTCCTCAGGACAAAGGGAAGAAGGGATCACAAACACAGTGTACATAGTTGATCTTTGAAGCACTGTTTTCGTAATCTCCGTATATTCCTGGACTTTTCAGCACAATGACCATCTTTAAGGTGAAAGACACAAAATCTACTTAAAGAATCGCCAGAAAGCAGAAGGAAAGAATATAATGAAACAGGAGTCTAAGGATATTTGAAAATTAGGGCTTGTTGATCAAGAAAAAATTTGGTTCTAAAATCGATTTGTAATTGGGGTGTTTTTTTGTTTCGATATTTATAATTCTGATTATTTGTAATGGCAATAATGTACATCACAAATTCATCCCCCCCTTACCAATCTCTTTGTTAATATTCCCAATCCCCCCCCCTGAAGAAAAGAAAAGTTTCGAGTAAATAATTAACGAAAGATCGATTCGTTTAGTTAAAGAGTGAGCGGACCCCTAATATACTTATACCTGCTCGGCTACTGACAACATATAAAAAAAAGATAGTAATGCCACAAATCATTTCCGAAGCTAATGTTATTTGCGTCAAGGGAAAAAGGTGGAAGGGGATAGAGTCGATTCGTTAAGTGAGGCTCCCTCAAACTTGCTTGGAACTAAAAGCGAAAGGTGGCGAGGAGTGGAAGCTGGATGACCTTTGGGCGGTCCCCAACTCGGAGGTTGGAACTACCAAAGCACCCTAATAGAGGGAGGGGAAGGAGGTTAAAAGAGTGAGAGGATTGGTCCCATCATGCTATAATTGTGTTGTGGGAAAGTGTTCTGGGACTTGCAGGTTAGGGAAGAGTAGCTTGAAATTTCAACCAGAGTGCTACTTAAGTGGGAGAGGATTTTTAATTTAGCCAAGAGAATACCAGAGAATGGGAGACGGGCCTAGGCCCTAACCCCCTGAGAGAGGGAGGGAAAAGAGGGTGATAAATAGAGCCTTGGCTGCAGGGAGTAGGGGTGATGCCCTTTGTCACCATGGAAGAAGGGGCCCTATGATCCTAAGCCGGTGTAGTGAAGAGCATGCTCGGAGTGACTTGGGAGGATGGATGCGTTGGCTGTGCCACGTGGATGTGTCCTGTGAGGGAGGATGTGTAGGGCAAGGCAGTTGAGGAGGCCAGGCCGAGGGAATAAAGAATGGGGTGTGTTTTCACCTCCTTCCCGCTACTCATCCGGTCTTCCTTTGCTACCCCGAAGGGGAAGGAGCTATTACCTTAAAGCCTCCATTAGCCAGGAAAATAAATGGAATAATTAGGTGCCTCGAATTCTCGCACACAGATAGAGCGGAGGCATAGGCGACAGCTATCGTCGAGCCCCCTCCTCCCCATCCTCTGCCTCAGCCGACGCCCTCTCCTCCCCGGGAGGCCATTAGCGGGGAACGAGAGGTGAGAGTGCGAAAAGCTGGTGATGCTCATTGGGTAATCCCACGGGCGACCGTAGCGCGCCACCGGCTTGCTCGCATGGACGTCACCCCTCACTTTCCTCGGCCACCCGCATTAGTTATGGGGCCGCCAGGCCATTTGCCACGCACCCAATCCCAAGTCGGGCCTGCGCTGAGCTCGCAGCATCACTCTATACCCTTAGCAGAGGGTTGTTAAGGGGAAATAAAAGCCAATGCCAAGCAAAAGCAAGCAAATGGGAGCGCAAAAGCGTCTGTGGTGCAGCTCACGGAGGGAAGGGTGAAGACCCTCCGGCAAAGAGAAAGGGGCGCGCGCGGGAGGAGCGCCGGATTGGCTCCCAGGCATCAGCAGCATCCTCCATCCAATTTCCGAAACGGGCGGAAACTCGTTAAAAGGATGGGGGATGCCGCTTCATTATTTTTAAACCCTTCCGGGTTTAAAAAAGTGTTTTGTTATCATTTCATAAATGCAAAAAAATAACGAATGTTTAACGAATTACGAAATTAACGAACGAAACCGCACAGGCCTATTAAAATGTCTGAAATATCTAGGAATATCCTCCACATTCTGAATACATTGAGGTTCTCAACTTTTGGTCGTCTAGGTTTTTGGGACTTCAGCTCCTAGAATTCCTGACTGGAGCTTCTGGGATTTGAAGTCCCAGACATATGGAAGATCAAAGATGCCTAGAAGACTATCGTTAAGTGATAGTAGTAACATTAAGTCAATGAAAAATAAACGACTTGTTTAGCAAAGAGTAGGCAAGTGGCATGAAATGTGTTTCCATCTTCTCATTACTTCCTGTTTCTCCAATATTCTTTTCCAGAGTCTCATCACCCTTCAAAGATGTCTTACTATCAACCATCTTGTGTTGCCCCCTCCTACGACTCTACTCCTCTGTTTGGGTTTGGGTCCTCTGGTTGCAGAGTCAATGGTCTTGGCAATGGAAGTCTTGGCTATGGCGGTTTCGGCTATGGTGGTCTCGGCTATGGTGGATACGGCAATGGATCTGGTAGTGTCACATCTTCCGCAGATCTGGGCACCCTGTCTGGAGTCACCCCGAATCCTATCAACCAGCTTCCTACCTCTGAATGCGTGATCAACCTATCTCCTGTTGTTGTGACCATCCCTGGGGCTATTTTGTCCTCAACCTGTGAGCCACTTCTTGTAGATGGCAATACTCCTTCTGCCGTTGGGGGTTATGGTCTGTCAGGAGGTCCAGGGAGCAGCAGCTTCTCTGGCAGGATTGGTAGTGGATATCTTGGAGGAAGAAAGGGTTTCCCAGGCCAGTATGGGAACATATGTCCCTAAATCTCTTAAATTCGCGAAGAACATCCCTTTGAGAACGACCAAGGACTGGATACCCTGCTGAATCTTCTAGGCTTCTGGAGCTGAATTGGAAGAATCTCTACCCATGTTGGACTCTCTCTTTTTCTGCATTTTCCTCCCACTGACACCTGACCAGCTTAATTCTATTCCCAGCGAATGTCCTTAATGCTCTTTATAAAACTGTCATGCTTTCCAACATTTTCAATAAAGTATATGCTGCACAATTGAAACCCATGTCTCTTGTTTTTTGAGGTTCTCACCATTGTCTTGTCCCTTGTTTGTGCAGTAGTATTCTTAGCAGACTTCTTGAGCCCCTTCAAAGATCTAGTTTCTTGAAAATGGAGAACATCTTCACTTTCATGTCCCATACTCAAGTCAACGAGTCAACTGTGAGGCAATTGTTGTTGTTCTTAGATAGTTAATGCCATCTAGGTTGAGATGGAAAGAGAAACATGAGCTACAACATCAGCTAGTCCAAAAGTCACTAAAGAAATTCAAATATGCAAAACCAGCAAAACTCAGAGTCATGGAACCAAGCCAGTCCAAGGTCAAGAGGAGGTGAACTTCAAGAATGAAATGAAATAAAAGTTATATCTTTATTAACCACTAGGTGGTGAGCCTTCATTGGTTGGGTTGTTGTAGGGTTTTTTTGGGCTACATGGCCATGTACTAGAGGCATTCTCGCCTGATGTTTCGCCTGCATCTATGGCAAGCATCCTCAGAGGTAGTGAGGAGAAGGTCAGGAGAGAATGCCTCTAGAACATGGCCATATAGCCTGAAAAAACCTACAACAACCCAGTGATTCCGGCCATGAAAGCCTTCAACAATACCTTCATTGGTTATTACTAAGCAAATATAGTATTGTGGGCAGGCAACACTCTCCAACAGTTGCCAGCAGTTGCATAACCTGACCTTTTTTTGGACTTAGGCCAGTGTGAGTCTTATCAAAACCTCAAGCCTATCATTCCAATGCAGATAAATATATTTATTTTTCAGGCTTTCACTGCACTGTCTGGAATGTAGCTACCTGCTTTGAATGTAGCTCCTGTTGAGAATGTAGCTCCGGTCGGGAATGTAGCTCCTGTCCGGAATGTAGCTCCGGTCAGGAATGTAGCTCCGGTCGGGAATGTAGCTAGAGCTAGATGTTATAGCTGAAATGCTACTAGATCTGTAATATGCCCCTCCCACCCCCTTTAGTGCCCACCCCCAGTTCTTTGACCCTCTCTTTCCCTATGTCTCTTCTTTCTTCCATCTCTACCTGTTTCTTTCCTCCCTTTCTTTGTTCTTTGGTTACATCCTTCTCCCTTCCCTTCCTTCCCTATCTTTCGTTCCTTCTCTCCTTCCTTCCCTCTCTTTTTTCTTTCACTTTTTTATTTCCTTCTCTCTTTCCTTGCTTCTCTATCTTTCTTTCTTTCCTTAATTCCTTCTTTCCCTCCCTCCTTCTCTCCTTCCCCCTTTCCCTCCTTCCTTCCTTCCTTCCTTCCTTCCTTCCTTCCTTCCTTTCTTCCTTCCTTCCCTCTTTCCCTCCTTCTCTCATTACTTCTTGACTGTCCCTTCCATTTAAT